GAAGGCCGTGACAACAATGGCAGCGTTGCCCTTGTCGATCACGTCGACCAGCTTGGGGTAGGAGATAGTCTTAGCTGCGGTTGGGATGGGGAACTTGCGGATTTCAAGGTATTGCTCGCCGTGGAGGAGCATCATCGGGGAGAAGTTGGCGACGATGTCGCCAAAATTGAATGGGGTAGCGGTGTTGAACCAAGGGACAACACCGAAGGTAGGAAGTGCCTGGAAGTTTTCGTTGTTCTCGTAGACGAGAGAGAGGTCAGTCCGCTTGGCACCAAGCGAGATGTTGTAGAGGATAACATCGCGATCAACATAGTCGAAGGTGGTGCCATCGGCCTTCATGTCCTTGGCCGCGACGATGGCATCCAAGATCTTCTTGTCGCCCTTTGGAGCCTCTTTCGCGGCACCGCTGACATTGCTGAGGTTGGCTAGGACGCCCTTCATGCCGTCCTGACCGTTCTCAGGGTTATCAGAATTCTCGTCGAAAGTGACAATCTTCTTCCACTGGGAGAGGACAGCCTCGGGCGTCAGGGGAACGTCAACTGGGAATCCGTGACCAGCACTGCGTTGCCATCTGGTCTGGGCGAACCAGCCGCTTCCGCACTCATACAGGCCCTTGGTGGGATCGGGCAGAACGTCAGAGCAGAGAGCAACGACGAATGGGGCAACGTATTCAGGCTTGAAGGCCTGGACAAGCTCCTCCGGCAGGACAGTACGGGTCATTTGGGTGCCGGCGTTTGGTGCAATGGTGTTGACGAAGATGTTGTTCTTAGCTCCCTCGAGGGCCAGGGCGCGGGAGAAACCAAGGACACCGAGTTTGGCAGCAGAATAGTTGGCCTGTCCGAAGTTTCCGTAGATACCACTGGTGCTACTGGTGTTGACGATGCGGCCATACTTTTGCTTCAACATGTAGGGCCACGCAGCCTTGGTGACACTGTACGTGCCACGGAGATGGATGTTGACAATGCTGTTCCACAGGTTGTCATCCATGTTGGTGAAGGCTTTGTCTCGAAGAATACCAGCATTATTGACCAGGATATCGATGCGCCCGTAAGCATCAATGGCAGGCTTGACAACAGCCTCACCGTCTTCAACAGAGGCCTTAGAGGGAACCGCCTTTCCACCAGCAGCTCTGATTTCTTCAACGACAGTGTCTGGGTTGACAAGGTCGTTGACAACAACGGAAGCTCCGAGCTTGGCAAACAGCAGGGCATATGCTCTGCCGAGACCACCTCCCGCACCGGTGATCAGCGCAACCTTGCCCGTGAAGTCAAGGTTGGGGGCGCTGGGGTTGGAAGGCAGTTTTTGGGCCTCCTCCAAAAGTCCCGCAAAGTCTGCCGTTCCATTAGGATAGCTAGGGTTCGAGTAATCCTTCACGTCGTTCCATTTGGCTATGATAGCCTGTGGCGTGAGAGAAGCATCGGTCTTCAGCAGGGCACCTCCAGCACGCTCCCATCGGAGCTTAGCCATGTGGCCAGCGCCAACCTCGAAGATACTGCCGGACTCGGTGGTGTTGGAGCTGTGGACGAGAGTGGCAACGAGAGGAACAATCCACTCAGGTTTCAGGTGAGCCAAGAGCTCTGGGGGCATGACCGTTTCGGTCATACGGCTAGCAGCTACATGGTGTTAAAAGTCGGATATATTGACATGTGAAGGCAGGGTTTACTTACCAATTGGTGCAATGACGTTGGCGATAATGTTATACTTGGCACCCTCCTTAGCCAAAGTTTCAGTGAAGCCAACCATGGCCAATTTAGCAGCTGAAGAGAATAGAATAGTCAGCCTTCTATCCAAGTATGAATTGGGTCCGAGAAATTACTAACCCGAGTAGTTGGTTTGTCCAAAGTTTCCGAAAAGACCAGCAGACGAAGCGGTGTTAATGACTCGTCCGAACTTTTGTTTCCGGAAGTGTGGCCAGGCAGCTCTCGCGCACTATACGTTCCAGGTCAGAATTTGGCCAGCAATATTACTGCTAGGAATCCTACCTTGTAAGATCCGTAGATGTGAACTTTGTTAATAAGATCCCAGTCGAGCTCTTTCATGTTCTTAAAGCTGATATCCCGGAGGATGCCAGCATTGTTAATGAGGATATCGATACGGCCGAAGTTTTGGATGGCGGTATCGATGATTTTGTCTCCGAACTCGACGCTATCGTAGTTGGCCACCGCCTTACCGCCAGCGGCCTTGATCTCGTTTACTACCACATCGGCAGCCTGCAACGCAATTAGACCATTTGACTCAGCAACTCAGACGTATCTAGCCGCCACAGCACGCGGGAATTGATGGCCATACCTTTGACGAGTTGCCCTCGCCAGTGTGTGATCCACCCAAATCATTGACGACGACGTTGGCGCCCCGTTTGCCGAAGAAAAGCGCATAAGCCTTTCCCAGCCCACCGCCGGCACCGGTGACAACGACGGTCTGGTTATCGTAGCGAAGCTCGGACATGATGGAGGAGGATGGCCCAGGGGCTATGTGAAAACAAAAGAGGCGGGGAGAGGGAGAGTGGCAGAGGAGAAGAGAACAGGAGATGAAACGGGGTATGGGCGGGATATAAGAAGGGAGAGTAGTTCACACAGAGCCAGGCTGGTGGAGAGAAGAAGAGAAGAAGAAGAGAGGAAGAAGAGAAGAAGAAGAAGAAGAGATGAGGTCGGATGTGCAGATGTCCTGGCGTCAACGAGGTTGGACTTCGGTTGTGAACCTCGGCATGGCTGGCCACGGGAAGAACGAGCGGCGACTGGCGGGGTGGGGGGCCGTACCGTACCGATACCGTATTTCTGGAGGGTTTTGCATGCATCACTGCCCAGTGCCAATCTATGTGACGATACCATACAGCGCCCATAGCTCTGTGTAAGATTGGAATAGCCGTGTGGATGACTAAGGCAAGCTCCGACAGCACGGGCGCTGTGATTGGCTGCTGGCACCCTCACGTGTCTGCAGCAGCCGCCAAACATGTGATTGTGTGTTTTGGCAGTTCCCAAGGAGGTGAGGTCATTGCCGCTGGCCAGGGCTGCGTCTCTCCCGAGGAACTTTGCTGCGTCGGAGATTGCGGGCCACCCCGGGCCTTTGCCCGCGTATCTCTTTGTTTCCCGCCCATGGCTGACACAGCGGCCTTGTCTTCCATCAGCCAGCTCCTCTGTACGGCTTATCATCAAGTGCCGACAGCGTTCCTTCGAAGCCCCGTCTTCAGCTAATCTGTTGCGGAATGCTAGCCGAGAACCTTAACCGACTTCCCCAGACTCAGGAAGCAGGATGCGCCAAGCGGTTTCAGGTCACGTGACATTGAATCTCCGATGGATCCTTAGGAGGGGGGATAGCAATAGACTGACGGGTAATCAACCACAACCACAGATATGGCACAAATAGTGGACGACAAGTCCCAATACTGCATTCCCTTTCTCCTGGAGCAATTGGACAACCACCAGAAACAACATGCTCACAATCCCAACCCTCCCCCGTTCTTCGTCGGCCTGAACGGAGTCCAAGGTGCGGGGAAGACTGTGCTGGTATGGTAGAGCTCTCTCTCCCACCCCCACTAACCCACATAAGCTCGAGGATGAAAATAAATATACATGATATATGAACTGCTCAATCCATTGCCACGGCCCTATGTACCCCGAAAATCCCACCTCACTAATACAAAATGCCCCTTACCCGCCCCGGTCCCGCTAGGTCACCATTCTCCGCTCAACCCTCTCCTCCCCGCCCTACAACCTCCCCACGATAACCTTCTCCCTTGACGATATCTACCTCACCCACGCGGACCAACTCCGCCTCGCGCAATCCCACCCTTCCAACCCCCTCCTCCAACACCGCGGCCAACCATCCACCCATGACGTCGCGCTTGGTCGGCAAGTCTTCGACTCCCTCCGCCTGGGCCTCCCGACGAAGATCCCTTCGTATGATAAATCTGCGTTTAACGGCCAGGGCGATCGCGTACCGGAGAGTGCGTGGGAGATCGTTAATGATGTTTCCGCCGGCCAGAAGCAGGTCAAGGTGGTGATATTTGAGGGTTGGTCTTTGGGCTTTCGCGCGCGGCCGGAGGAGGAGATTCGGCGGGCGTGGGAGGATGCGGTGCAGCGGCGCACGGAAGATTCGGGGAGCTATGATGGGCGATTGGGATATGTGAGGTTTGAGGACGTTCGGGATATCAATGAGGCGTTGAGGGGGTATGATGTGTTTACCGAGTGGGTTCGCCTATCATCGATAAAGCCCTCATAGTCCCTGTTCTAGCTAACAGATACGATACGAAATCCAGCCGGCTGGATGCATTCATACATATGTAAATTTATACCCCTCTCTTCTCCCCGCTTGCCGGCTGCCTTCTAACCCGTGCATAACAGCGACGCCGAAAATCCCCGCTTCGTCTACGACTGGCGCCAGGAGCAGGAGCGCAACCTGCTCGCTACCAAGGGCGCCGGGATGACTGTTGAACAGGTTAATGAGTTTGTCGATGGATGTATGTTGGATGCTACCTTCGTTTCTCTTATTTACTTTGCCGTCCATACCAAAATGCCATGATCTAACGACCCAATTTATCCTACACCCAGACTACCCCTCCTATGAACTCTTCACCACCACCCTCCGCCAAGGTGTATTCGCTCCCCGTCAAGCCCCCGATGCATCGAACGGTTCGTGGAAGGGGAGACAGCTGCGGCTGGTAGTGGATCGGCAAAGGAGGGTTGTGCAGGTTGTTCGGATTTGATCTGATGGTAGACAGTTCGAGGTGATGGGTGGAATATTTATATATAGACACGATAGATAGATATGGTAGATTGACCAGATATATCCCTAAAACTAAGCTGAAAGCCACACAATGCCCGGCGGAGTTATATGTTTTCTATCTCTAACTTACTATCTCACAACTCCCGCATCTTCAACGTTGCCATAACACCCATCATACCATGCCACAAAAAAGAAAACCAACCGATCAACCATCACTTCGAAGTTTTGTAACATAACCACGCCGGCAAAAAAAAGACAAAAAAAAAGATAAGATAAGAAGCTCCAACCCTGATTCGAACAAGGGACATTGCGATCTGCAATCGCACGCTCTAACCGCTGAGCTATTGGAGCAGGTTCTTATTGGGAGAGTTTAGTCTGGATTGAATTATGTAAGGGTTTAGGTAGTTAACTAGGGCTAGCGGCTGAGGGAGCCCTAAGTTGATTTTTTTGCGGAGGGAGGGAACTAGGACTGATGATGGGGAAGGGTGATTCGAGTATGTTGTTTTTGAATCTCATGTGTATGTATTAAGGGGGATAGGTTGGTGATTTCTCTCTTTCTTGTCTTTTTATTCTATTAATTTGTATGGGTAGATATGAACACGCAAGCTGAAAATATATATGCTCACTGCCGTGAAGCTAGTTGCCAACGCATATCGTCTTTTCTGTTTTTAAAAAAAAAAAATACTAGATCAGATCATGTACACCTGTCTTGCTAAATATCCATCCAGTTACACGGTCAAAAAAGAGGTGAAAAAAGAAAGAAAAGAAAACACCCCCCCATATCTATCCCTCCCCCCCCGCCCCCTCCCTCTCCGCCCTCCACCTCTCAACCAACGGCATTATCACCCTCCTCCTCTCCAAACTCTCCACCGGCCACACCTCCTCCAAATCAAAAAACTCCTCCACAACCCTCACCTTCCCCCCCTTCCCCGCCCCCTCCCTCCCCCCCTCACCACCCTCCAACTCCAACAACCCCCCCTTAACCCACCCCGCCGCCTCCTTCACAAAAATATGCGCATCCGGCCCCACCCGCCACGCCTCATCCAGCGTCCCCACCCGGACGCACTTCACAAACGGCCCGTGATCGCCATAATGGCTCCAGAGGGCGACGTGGCAGGTTGCGCAGCGGATGATTTGCTGCCCGCGGCCGGAGGAGGAGGGGGTGGGGATTGTTATTGTTTCTGTTTCTGTTTTGGCGGGTTGGGGGGAGGTGGAGGTGGAGGTGGGGGTGGGGAGGAGCGGGGCGCGGTCGGATTCGATGAGGAGGTTGAGGGCGAAGGCGGTGCCGGTTTCGCGCTGGCACCCTGGGGGTTGCGTGTTAGTTAGGGGGGAGGAGGAATGGCTGAGGTGAGGGCTCTTGGGGTTTTTGGAGGTCTTGGGGGGGGCGGGGGCACTTTTTAATTCTTTTCTATATCGAATACATAGCGCTTTTTTACTTACATGTACAGTGGCAGCAGTTCACCCAGAGGGGCGGGGTGTTGATTTGATACCGGACGGCGCCGCAGGTACAGCCGCCTTTGAGTGGGTATGTGGTATCTGGGGATAGCATTTTTTTTTTTTTTTTGGTTCGAGTGGGTGTGTTTTTTGGAAGAAGAGAGCTGGCAAGCAACCAGAGAATGAAGGGGGGTTTGGAAGTGGAGTTTACCTCACTTAAGATGAGGAATAACGAACAGACTTGAGGGGCAAAGGCCTGTTTAAATATTGTGGGGTATGCTGCGTATCAGTTGCATCTAATTATCGCACTGGCGTGGGATATCTGTTTCAAATGAACTATCGCGTGTTGAAGCTCGTATCCATGCCCTCATAACTAGTGCACCACTTCGCTCCCAGTTGCGCATCGATAAATCGTCATCTGCACCCTAACCACCCAGAAAAACACATCTCGTATAAGAAACCCGTACGAGGAAAGATGCCCCATATGTCCAAACCAAATTGCTCCACATCAGAAAACCTCCCATCATTCATACCTTGATAGAAACAGAAACAGGATGCTCAGCATCATTCCAACCCCCTCGCCTTCTCCAACGCTACCCTCTCCCTCTCCAAAAACTCCTCCTGCTCCCGCTGGCTCTTCTCAACATCGACAAAAAACAGCAAAAACAAGAAACTCACCAAACTCAGCGCAAACAGAAAGTAAAACGGCGTGGAATTGTTATGATTCGGCGATGCGTCGATGATTGCGCTCGACACCAGCGGGCCGATGAACGAGGATGTTTTCCCCACGATGCTGAACAGGCTGAAGAAGAGGAACTCTTTGCCGCGCGGGGTTACTTCGGAGATCATTATTTGGCTGTAGCTGTACCAGGGGCAGACGAAGAGGCCGTAGAATGTCTGGTACACCCATACCTCCCAGACCTTGTGGAAGCCGAAATTGGGCGACCAGATTCCGATCATTCCCCAGCCATCTAGCAGTATGATACCCACCGCAATGGCGTTGAACATAGTTTTCGTCCCGAGGTGGAAGCGGCGCTGGATGTACCAGAAGGAGTATATACCGACGGCCTAGATAGCGGACTCAATAAGTGATCGTCCCTTGATTGCCTGGATAAATGAGCCTGGCTTACCTGCGCTGCAATTCCGACAATGAGCAAATAAGTTAGCTGAAGAGTGTTATATGCAACGATGCTATTTTGAAGCGTTGCAATAACTGTGACTGTTGTGTTCAACGAGTCCCCGAGGAGGAAATATCCTGTAGCTCGCGGAACCATGATTCAGCGATTTCCATAATCATCAGCGCAGTAACGAGGAGTTAAAAACATACCTATAAGATAGTACAAGCTCTGTTTCAGCTGCCAAATGTTTGCGGCCGCTCGATATAACTGACGAACTCCCGCGAGGATAATGTTCATACCAGGATCCTGTCCTGGCCTGCGCTTCTCCAAAAAGAACCACGGTAGCGAGACCAGCAGCCACACTCCACTAGCAAATGCTATCAGAACGCTCAACCCCCAGTTATTATTTGCCTCGCTGGCATTAACATCTAGTCCGAACATGATGCCCACGATGATAGCTAAGATCACAATCTCAGCAACAGACTGGACGTAGAAGGCAATATTCGCCAGCTCGCTCCGTTTCATAGAGTCCGCCTTCTCATATTCTTCCCTGAAGATGCGCCCGGCGCGATAGTCTTCCGCCTTCTCATGTAATTCCTTGGTGTTACGCGCAAGACCTGGGAACGCGGCGGTCCAGAAGGTCAACGTGGTTTGATACGCGATCAATCCAACGATATACAGTCCGAGCGCCACATGCCATTTCTCGTCGGTGTGCACGCCCAGCCATGCAAATCCGATGGCGTATGCGATGATCGAAAGCGCGATCAGAATATTTGGCCGCCAGGTGCCGAAATCGGCGAAGCTGCCTATGACGAGAAAGACGAGGACCTGAATGGCGAAGGAGATGCCATTGCTAAGCAGAACGATACTGTTGATTGAGCGCTTGAAGCCGGCAAAAAAGAGCGTCTCGCCGTCTCCAGCTGCTTGGTAAAGCAGGTTCTGGAATGCGGTTGGAGCAAAATCTGCGTGCGGTTAGTATTGCTTGTATGCGACCAGTACGTTCATGGGCACCCACTGAACAAGGTTAATCCATTATTTCCGATATAGTAGCTGTAGAATTGTCAGATATGCATAAAGGCCTGTTCCATCTCTGCCTCCCGCTGCTGCAAATGTCCAAGCTGAAGCTCCCTCGGCCGGCCTTGGCCTGCGAAATCGTCGGGGGAGAGGAACAACGGCACGGAAAGAAACCCACGAATAATAAGCCCAAATCTCCAGCTTCGTGGTCCGGTATCTTTCATCAAAGACATCTGGCACGGTACGCTCATCGGGGTCACCCAGTGTCGCGTCAACCTCTGTCTTTGCATGGGCTTCGGCTTCGGTGACGGAACGGGGGTCCTTGTCCATGAGTAACTAAATGCCGATGACAACGCTGGGACAGAAATCAAGCAACGAGCGGTAGATACGACGGGATGGCAATAGACAAGCAGGACACAGCAAGATTTGCGCACACTTGTGTTGAATATTTAGCACGATGCCTGTTCCTTTTTATTTAGCTGAGAGATAAATAGCCGGCTGCGACCTGCCTAACGAACGCTATTTCAAAGCACGCACGCAGCAAGCAGCGATCTCAACACTAAACAACGAGTTAGTATCATCGAATGGCTATCTCGACGAGCCACTTACTTTACTGTCAGTCTCCAGCGCAGCGGGATTTGCGTCAGATAAAAGCTTCTCGCGTGGAGCTGGAGACATAATTGGTGGAGTTGAAGCTGGTCTTGAATTTGGTGCGACATAACTTACCAAGCTATGATGAGCAAAAGTTGATGACCGTTGGCCGTGGGTTGGCTTTTCTTGGAGGAGCGGGCCTGTGAAGCTTAATCCTCCGGCCCAAGTGTGAGGTGGTTGGTGACATTCTGATGTTCGATTAGGGTTTACTCCCCGATTAGGCAAACTTCCGAAGGTCCCGAGGTCGAATGTTAACATCATTACGAACGTTGGACTGACTACCTTGTTAACTTACCTGCTGCACGCTATGGCAGTCGTGATTAAAAAAGAAGTGAGTTTGACAAAAAAAATACTAGTATTCCATAACCCTAAGATACATTGCCTGAAGAAAGAAAAGAAGAAGAAAAGAAGAAGAGGAGGAGGAGGAGGAGGATGGTAATGCAGGCGGGAGAATAGAAGCACGAAGAAAGATTCCGTTCCTGATATTGGGTATAGGATAGCCTGTTTGTTCGAATCAAAGCAGGTCCTGCGGATCGCGAGTTTTCCAAAAGTAGACGTCTGCCGCAGCTCTCAACGTAGCTCAGTTCCACACACCCGGCTGCGTTTCCCGCAAACGCGTCCATCCAGAAAATATACACCACGGCACGCCTGGGATAATGTGCAAAGCCCAATCCCCCAACAACTATCGAGTACCACAATCGAGCAGATTCCACCCCCTCACCAACCGATACTCAACGTCACCGATGATGCCCATCGATCTCATACGCCTCGGTTTTGCCAGACTGGGGTAGTTCTACTGGCGGCGCCACAGGCCCAGCAGACCCCGGATGTTTATAACCAGAGTAATTTATCCCGCCCGTTTGTAACGTATGCAGTTTTTTCTGGTATCTGCGTCGTTGGAAGAAAAGTCCGATTAGGGCCGCACCGAGACTTGCGCCAAGTGCAGCACCAACACCGGCGGTGGCAGCAGTATTTGATTTGGAGGCGACAGGGCATTCGCTGGCCGCTGCCTGGCCTGTTTCCTGGCATGTCCCGGTACCCGCGGTTGTGGTTGTTCCGGCCGTTCCAGTCGGTGAGGTCGGGGAGGTCGAGGAGGGTTCTGGGGAGGAGCTGGACTTCGGGAACATAAAGCTG